ACTTCAATTTTTGACTGAAATACTCTCTGAATTGAAACATCAAATTACTTACTCTATTCGCTTCCTATGGTTAAACTTACTGATAAAATAATACATATGTCTGACCAGTTTTTCTCTACTTTATAAGGGGAAAACTCTCAGCTTGTATCAAATGCATAAAAATTAAACTGATTTAAGAATAAGCCAACTGATGTAAAGTTAGTTATATCACTGTATATGAACTTCACAAAACCAGAAACCTCAAATAAATATAGCAAGGAGAACAACAGGGTGAGCTCTCCCACCCTGCAACAATAGAAGAGCCCCAACAATATAAGAGCTTCAGAGGTGAGGTGGCTCAGTGATAAAGAACCTGCCTGCCAATGCAGGAGTTGTAGGAGATGCGGGTTGGATCTCTTGGTCAGGAAGGTCCCCTGGAGGAGGAACTAGCAACCCACTCCAGTATTCTTGCCAGGAGAATCTCATGGAGAGAGGAACCTGGCGGACGACAGCCCTTGGGGTTGCAGAGTTGGACATGAATGAGGCAACTGAGCATGCACACAAATGCAAAGCAGAAGAAACTTCCTCTTCCTTCTGGGAAAGGACTCAGATGATCAAAAGCCACAGACTCTTCGTTATGGCCCTCCTAACTCCCTTTTCTCTATAAATCAGCACCTTCACTTGCCTGCAGGGACTTGCACATGACTTGTCCTGGTCACAGCCTCTGAATTGAGAATCTCTACTAATCATAGATAAAGCCTTCTTCGGTCGAGGAATATTTGGCAGCTTATTTGTTTCAGGTCAATAATTTTATTACACTCTACAGAGTGCTATCCAGAATGACAAGTGACAACCAGACGTTGCTATAGGGCACTTGAACTGTAGCCAGTGTCAGTTGAGATGTACCATAAACATGAAATATGTATCAGATTTCAAAGACTTAGTATAAAAATTTAAAATTTTCTCTGTAAGAAGTTGATATTGATTGCATAATTTAAAACATTTTGCATATATAAAATTAAATATATTATTTCATCAATTTCACTGGTTGAGTTTTACTTGTTAATGCTGCCACTAGAAAATTAATATGTACATCAGTTTCATTGGTTTAGTTTTACTTCTGTGCAAGGGAGTTATTTCCTGCCATATCAATAAACAAGGATGTCACAGCCATCAGGGATTCCCACCCTCCAAATGTGAGTTTCTGAGCCCAGGAAGAACAATACCTGCTATCTGGCAGCCATCAGCCAACTCCCATGGTGAGCACTGGGCCCAGACTGCTGAGATGCATATGAAAGGAAAGATTTCAGTAAGCCTAGACTCTTGCATCTTCCCAAACAGAAAAGTGCTAAGTTCCTTGAGATGTCTGGTTTTCCTTAATTAACAATAATCTCTTGATGTTCAAACTATCTGCCCCTTGTCATAAGCTTCTATATAAACTTACTGCTCTCCCTCCACCTTCTTGAAGTAGTTATCTCAGGGTTACTTGAGATGATGTTTCTCAGGCTTGAAGTCCTAAAAATTCCCACCAAGTAAAACATAACTCCCAACTTCTAAACTGTAACTATTTTTTTTTACACTGACACTTGATAATGCTGCCACTAGAAAATCTGAAATACATATGTGATTAACATTGTATTTCCAGTGATCAAAACTAAGTCGAGCTGTCAAAAAGGAAAAAAAAAAAAAGATTGAATCCACCAAGCAAATACTCTTCCTTAAAAAGAGGAATCAAAAGCACTCAGATATACACTGAGATACACAATTTAGATAATGATACACATATAGTATTTATGACAAATATTAAAAATGACAGGAATACCTAGCAAGATGGGGGAGGAGCACGGAGATGTGGAATGCATCTCTCTCCACTGATGCATCAGGAATACATCTACAGATCCAACACTGAACACTGGCTGAAGACAAATAGGAGTCACTGACCAGAAAGAATTACATGGACCCACACATAACTGGGTAAAATGAAAGAAAGAAGGGAGAAGGAGGAGGAGAGCAAGCGGGAATGGACCTGCAGCTAGGGGTGGAGGAGCTGAAAGCAGGGGAGAAATTCCCACATTCAAAGAAATCGGATGCAACATAAGGGAAGCATTTGAGGCTGTCTGCGGTGAAGCAGGTGATCTGTAATAGCCTGAATGGAGTGAGAACCACACGGATAATCTGTGCCTCAGCCCGAGGTACCCCAGAACAGGACGAGTGTCCTACCAGTGAGCAGGGTGGCTGGGAGCTGGAGCATGGGGATCAGAGAGCAATCCAGGGTCATGGACTGCAGTTGACTGTGAGGAGATGGCCTGAGGGAAAGTGGGGTGGAATTCACAGCAAGAAATGCCTTTGGAGGAAAACTGGGTGACCACGGAGGCAGGGTACTACTGCTGAGTCACATGAAGGGGTGGAGCCACGAGTGTAGCCTCTCTCCCTGCGAATATCAGCACTGGCAGCCAGTCGAGCAATAGAGAAGGACTCCAGTGAAGGCTGCTGTCTGAACACCTGATGCACCAAGCAATAAGGAACAATCAGCCAGGGAGGCCCTTTGAACTCCGGCAGCTAGAGGCTAGAAAAGACTCCCAATAAAACCATATCTGTGCCTGTGGCCACCAGCTTTCCTACAGAAGTGGCACTGCAAGGGACTCTATGATCCAACAAGCCATATCGCCTCCATGCCCCATCCTCACTGGGGCAGTCCAAAGTTCTCAAGGCAGCCTCCGGAGCAGACTCTTGTGAATGGCACACAAGCCTAGGTAGGGATAAAATCGCAATTGAGCTCCAGGGGCAGAGAGACTAAGGAAGACGATGGAAAACTTTTGCAACAGCTACACAAAGCTTCAGAATACATCCACACGCTCAACTAGGCAGACTCTGTGTCTATGGAATATATAAAAGGACAGTGAGTGTTCCCACAGAAGAAAATGCTCTAGCTCTGGAAGCTGTCGACATGGAGGCAAGCACGCATGGCAGTAAGGCCAAATCACAGTGTGAGCTGTCCCCACAGCTGGTCCAGAGAGCAGCCCTTCCCACCACTGGAGAACCTCCCAGGGAGGCCGAGGTGGGCCATGGTTCACAGCAGGGGCAAGAATGCTGACAGCTGAGAATCTATTTTTATGGTTTTTACCTTTCCTTTTAGTATTTTGTTTCTCTTCATATTTCATTGTTGTTGTGGTTGTTGTTATTATTTCTATTTAGGCACATGAGATTTTTTTTTTTATCATACTTTTAGTTTCTTTCATATATTTCTACTTTCACTTTTCCTTTTTGCTGTTTTGTGGTTTTTTTTGTTGTTGTTTTGTTTTCTTTTTGGTTCTGCTTTCTTCTTGTTTTTCTTGAATACATATGGATTTTTATTTACATACTTCTATTTAACTTTGCTTTTATATACATATTTTAACATTTTTGTTTGGTTGGTTTTTTGCCTTATTCTCCAGCTGGCACTCTGGTTTTATTTTCTATTTTGTGTTTTAGATAGTTTTGTTTTTAATTAGTTAGTTTTATTTTCAGTTTCATTGTTTCTAGGGTCACACTCCTGTGCTGTTTTCTTTGCTATATTTTGGTTCTTTTTGAGTATATGTATGTATGTATGTGTGTGCGTATTCATTTGTGTGTGTAAGTTCTGTTGTTTTTGTTTCTGTTTGTTGACATTGCTTTTACCATTTGTCTTGCTTTCATTTCCTGTTTTTTTTTTTCTAGGGAGGGGTTGCTATTTAAACCTCTTTATCTGTATACAGAAAGCTATAAGATACTGATGAAAGAAATCAAACAGAACATAAACAGATGGAGAGACAGTCCATGTTCCTTAGTTGGAAAAACCAATATTGTGAAAATGACTATACAACCAAATGAAATCTCCAGATTCATTGTGATCCCTATCAAATTACTGTTGGCATTTTTCACAGAACTAGAACAAAAAAAACTCACAATTCATATGGAAACACAGAAGACCCTGAATAGCCAAAGCAATCCAGACTATAATATAAAGCTACACTCATCAAGATAGCATGGCACTGTCACAAAACGAGAAATACTGGCTAATGGGACAAGATAGAATACCCAGAGAAAACCCCATGCAACTATGGGTACCCTTTTTAATAAAGGAGCAAGAATATAAAATGGGGCAAAGATAGTCTCTTCAATAAGTGCTGCTGGGTGAACAGCTATGTGTAAAAGAATAAATTAGAACACTTCCTAATGCCATACACAAAGATAAACTCAAAATGGATTAATGGCCTAAATGCAAGACCAGAAACTATACAACTCTTAGGGGAAAACATAGGGTAAACATTTTGTGACATAAATCACAGCAAGATCCTCTATGATCCACCTCCTAAAGTAATGGAAATAAAAACAAAAATAAACAAATAGAAACTAATTAAACTTAAAAGCTTTTGCACAGCAAAGGAAATGATAAACAAGATGAAAAGACAACTCTCATAGTCTGAGAAAATAATAGGAAATGAAAAATTCACAAAGGATTAATCTCCAAACATACAAGCAGCTCATACAACTCAATACCAGAAAAACAAACAGCCTAATCAAAATTGGGAAAAAGACCTAAACAGACATTTCTCTGAATACACACAGACAGTTAATAAACACATGAAAAGATGCTCAACATTGCTCATTATTAGAGAAATGCAAATCCAAAGTACAATGAGATATCCCCTCACACTGGTCAGAATGGCCATCATCAAAAAATTCTCAAACACTAAATGCTAGAGAGGATGTGGAGAAAAGGGAACCCTCTTGCACTGTTGGTGGGAATGCAAATTGATACAGGCACTATGAAAGACAGTATGGAGGTATGGAGTATTCCTTTTTTTTTTCCTTTCTTTTTTTTTTGAGTNAATTTACATGTGTACCCCATCCCGATCCCTCCTCCCACCTCCCTCTCTACCCAATCCCTCTGGGTCTACCCAGTGCGCCAGGCCCGAGCACTTGTCTCATGCATCCAACCTGGGCTGGTGATCTGTTTCCTTTAAAAACTAGGAATAAAACCACCATGTGACCCAGCAAACCACTCCTAGGTATATACCCTGAGGAAACCAAAATTGAAAAAGACACATGCAACCCAATGTTTATTGTATCCCATATAATTTTATGGAATGTGGAAGCTATGACTTTATGAAATGTACTATTTCTTAAGTAACAGGAATCAAAAGTCAAACTTACTCCTTGAGCCATGGTTTGCAGAATTAGTGTATTAGTAAGCATGAAAATAACATCAAACTCATACATCTCCATCAGAACTCTTGTGTGGCCAGGTGCACTGTAAATAAGAAGTATTATTTTGAAAGGAACCCTCTTTTTTTTTTTCTGAGCAATAGGTCACAACAGTGGGCTTAAGTGTGCTGTGTCACTTCAGTCAAGTCTGACTCTGTGTGACCCTACGAACTGTAACCTGCCAGGCTCCTCTGTCCATGGGATTCTCCAGGCAAGAATACTGGGGGTTGCCATGGACTTCTCTAGGGGATCTTCCCAACCCAGGGATCGAACCTGGATCTCTTATGTCTCCTGCATTGTCAGGCAGGTTCGTTACCACTAGCACCACCTGGGAAGCCTGTGGGCTTAAATACTCTGCATTTGAAAAGGAACGCATTTGAGTCAGTTCTAATGAGGTGGATGAACCTCGAGCCTATCATACAGAGTGAAAAAGTCAGAAAGACAAAACAAATATTGTATATTAATGAATATATATGGAATCTAGGAAGACAGTACTGATGAACCTGTGTGCAGAGCAGTAATGGAGGCCCAAAGATAGAGAACAGACTCATGGACACAGGGCTGGGGTGTGGAAGGAGAGGATGGGATGTAAGGAGACAGCAACATGGAAACATACATATTACTATATGTAAAGTAGATAGCCAATGGGGAATTTGCTATATGACTCAGGGAACTGAAACCAGGGCTTTGTAACAGAGAGGTGGGATGGAGAGGGAGGTGGGAGGAAGATTCAACGGAGAGGGGACATAGGTTTAGCTATGGCTGATTCATATTGATATTTGGCAGAAACCAATACAATATTGTAAAACAATTATCCTTCAGTTAAAAATAAATAAATTTTAAAAAAACCCTCAATATCAGTCTTACTTAAAACATTATAAATAGTGAGAAAATATCCAAAGGTAAAAAAGTAGTGTGTTCCTCTCTTTTACTTATTAACATGTTGCGCTATGCAGAGGGAAACCATAATTTCAGAACTCTGCTTACCTATTTTTATTGGCAATTAGCAGACATAATTCTAGAGTTTTGTTTTATTGTTTGTTTGTGAGGTATGTGCTCCTTTTTTGTGGAAGGGGAGCTCAAATGTGTTCCCATGGATGATGTGGGGCAGAAAGGTTATAGAAATCTTCAGAGAGATTATGAGATGCAGAAGTTTGAGAATCACAACTCTACAGCTATAAAACTAGATGTCTATAAATTGTACACAATGAGAAATCAAGTCCAAGTTGAAAATCTCTACTGTATTACTAGCAATTTTAGTAGTTTCTAAAATTACTTTATTTTTATTACTATTAAAAATAGAGGAAGACCTCTTTTATTTTGCAAATTGAATACACTCATTCTTAAAATCTTTAGTGAACATTTTAGTAACAGAAAAATAAGACAAAAATACGCAATTCAAAATTTAAACTGTGAAAATGTGGTCATGTTAGTATATTTGCTTCTTAAAGCATATTAACTTGTAAAAGCAAAAACAAAAAACAATGTCTTACCTTCCATCTCGATTCCAGTCATACACCTCTACTTTAACTGTTCTGTCCATGGTGAAAACATACACACAGGGTAAAGTTACTTAGTAAGATCAAATTAACATATGATTGAAAGTTAAAAAATAAGTTACAGATTTACTTAGATAAAATATTGTATACTTTCAAGTTTTACAAAATAAAGTTGATTTTCTAATTTTAATACTAGTCTTCAATTTTTACTTTAAAATAGGTTTTTAAAATCACATAGATTTTTAAATTCTTTAAACAGAGTAGGAAATTATACAAGAAAATCATTTATAGTTTGACACAGCTCTTCAATGAGGAGCATAGAGCTAATTATCCACTCTTCAAAACCATTGTCTTTGTATTTTGACATTGAGTTTGTATTTCTCAAATTCAGCATAGATCAGAATCACATGGAAGGCTTGGAAAAATGTGAATTACTCAACCTTATGCCCAAGTGTTTTTGGTTCAGTAGTTCCAGGGTGGGCCCAAGAACTTGAATTTTTACAAGTTTCATCAGGTGATGATGATGCTGCTAACTATATTATGCAATATAGTTAGAACTGTATTATACAAATCACGGTCTTAGAAAGAATGAGTCCAATTAAATAAAGTTGTGACATTATTAAACGAATAAGGTGACAGGCAAGTAGCATAATACATTTTAAGAACATCTAATGTCATATTGGTAATGGATAGTTTTTCCTATGGTTTTAGTTAATAGAATAAATTCTCATTTTTCTAGTATACGAGTAGTAAGATAAAATATGTTTTGGGGTGAGAAGGGGTTTTTATATAGTAATCTTACAATCCATCTTCATAAGAAAAAGAAAAAACTTTGATATTAATAAATCTTCATACATATTTTGGGAAGATCTTCAGGGCCACATCACCTATTTATTTGTAAAACATCAGAATCTCCCTGTTCTAGATCTATAGAACTTTTATAATTCAGTGACCATGAGAAAGATGATGTCAAATAGGATTCTCAGGAGTAAACAAGGTTGATAACATACAAAATCATAATTTTACATCTTCTGTATATTTACTTATTCCTTTCTAGAAAAATAATACCAAATGAAAACCTTGAAGCTATAAATATTATGGGATACTTTTGAATATGTTAAAATAAACAAACATTCAATATATTTTAGCACTTTGCACATTTTTGTTTTTGAAAATTCAGTTAAATCAAATTTTAATTAGTCAAATTATTCCTCTTGCCCATATCATTGTGGGTAAAAAATGCTACTTAAAAAATTCTTAATAAGTCAACTATGCTTTGGTAAATGCACATTTATGTTGGCAAAGAAGCCATCTTAATTTTAAAAATTCAACTTAGATTATTGGATATGAACTCTACAGTGAGTATTTAAAACTCTCAGACAAGTTGACACTTATTTTACCTGTCATAATCGCCATTACATAAAGCTCTTACTGAGATCTTGAATGCTTGCCATACAGGATTTAGAGTGTTTTTGACAACTTCTGTTTTATGACAGATTGTAAAACTGTAAAAAAAAAAAAAAAAGTTTTCCAGTTATTTTCATGATTTAGTTCTAATATATGCCTTAGTAATCATTTCTTTCTTTATACTTTGTGCAGAATACAGGTTGCCTGTCCCTCTGTTACTATTATACCAGTCAATAAAAAGAGATTTGCTGTTTCAAAACTTTAAAGATTAGCTCATTGTAACATATGGCAACCCACTCCAGTGTTCTTGCCAGGAGAATCCCAGGGACAGAAGAGCCTGGTGGGCTGCCATCTATGGGGTCACACAGAGTCAGACACGACTGAAGTGACTTGGCAGCAGCAGCAGCATCATAACATAAAGCAATGAGGGACTTCCTTGGTGGCCCAGTGGTTAAGAATCCGCCTTGCAGTGAAGGGGGCCCCTGTTCTATCCCTGGTCTGGGAAGACCCCACATGGCCATGCGCCAACTCAGCCCAGGCATCACAGCTACTGGCCTGCACTCCGGAGCCTGTGAACTATTGACTACGGGGCCTTGTGCAGCAGCTACTGAAGCCCGCACGCCCGAGAGCCCGGGCTCCACAAGAGAAGCCACCGCAATGAGAAGTCTGTACACCACAACTGCAGAATAGCCCCTGGTCTCCGCAACTAGAGAACGCCCTCAATGCAGCAACAGAGACCCTGCACAGCCAAAACTAAATGAATGCAAAAAGATTTTTAAAATGTAATTTTGCAACGAGTTTACTAAAAATGACCTGGACATTCTATACATCCTAAAACTGCCTTCTAAATAATCTCTATAAAAATTGCAGTGACATATTGTTACAGTGAAAAGTATCTATCAGTCAATAAACATGAAGCTTATCAGTAATTTTGAGAAGTTTTGTTGGAATGCTGGACACAAAAAACCTGGTTAGAATGAGTCTAAGAAAGAGAAGAGAAACAGGCAGAATGTGTAAATATTTTTGAGCAGTTTAGCTATAATAAGAAAAAAGAGAACTTGAGGATAACTTAAAGGGGAAAGATTAGTCAAGTGAAAGGTGTGTTTTTAGTCACTTTTTAATTTTTTTTTCAAGACGAAATTAAGAACAGCAAACGTGTATGCTAAAGGAAAAATATATTAGAAAAAAGACTATTGTGATGTATGAGAGAAAGGAGAAGAAGGCTAGAGTGATGTCCTGAAGTAGATGAAAGTGGATGGGATAGAGGGCATCAATATGGAGTAGCGGGCCTTAGAAGCACTTGGATAGTCATTTTGCAGAGCATTTGGGAAGGCCAAACACAGGGGTAGATATTGCGATGGGGTCTTAAGGAATTTCTCCATTTGCTTCCATTGTCTCATTAAATAGGAGACAAGATAAACAGTAAATAAGAAAGAGGGGGAAAGTGCCTAAGTGTCTGGGAGAGAGGAACATTGATGGATTAAGAAAAAGGAGTGATTTCTGAGGAAAAGGCTTATTTAAGATTAACATAATGGATTTATAGTAGAGATCATTCAACATGTGGTTCTTTTTTTATCTAAGCTGTTGATTATTCTTAGAGGGAAGAAAGATAGCAATTAAAGAATATATAATAAGGGGTAGAATCCATGAAACCTTAAACTAGTTTTCTGATTCAAATTCCAGTATTGTTTCCATCAAGCCATTTAATCTCTGGACATCAATCGGGTCCTGGTAATATTTTTTCCCTAATGCAAATTTATGCAGCAGTTCATGAACTATAAAATGTTTTAAATGATCTTGGTTAGAACAATACCTAAATTCCACTTTCACTAAACCCTTATCATGTAGTGATCTAAATGCAGGGGTCCCTCTTATAGTCATGAATGTGAGAGTATTATATAACTACACCATGGTGAACATATTGCAACTAAACCCTGTAAGAAAATAATTCCATTTTGAAATGGCAGAGTCCATTTTCCTCTTCACAGTCAAGAAAGTGTCTCTCTTCATTAAGAGATCGAAAAGAAACTTAATATGAATGGGTCATGTATTCATTTTGAGATTTATGGCATTTAGCACTACACTCTTCCTGGTAGTAGCCTCACCTATCTAAAGAAACTCATGTTACTAAATTGACAGAGCTCAAGAGAATATGTGTTTGTATAATGTGGTCAAGTTCTCTCGAAGTTGAATCACCCAAAGCAATATAGAAGTCACCCAGGGCAAAAAACATTAAAAGAAAAACATAAATGATAGAGAAAACTCTAAAAGATCAATCAAAATTACTTTGAAACTTCTCTTAAACTACTCACCTTCTTCATGAGCTACTTAAAAACTAGGGAGTCATCTGTCATTCTCATTTGTAAAGCCCTTAATGACAGAAAGTGAAGAAGAACCAAAGAACCTCTTGATGAAAGTGAAAGAGGAGAATGAAAAAATTGGCTTAAAGCTCAACATTCAGAAAACTAAGATCATGCCATCCGGTCCAGTCACTTCATAGCAAATAGACGGGGAAACAGTGGAAACAGTGGCTGACTTTATTTTTTGGGGCTCCAAAATGATTGGAGATGGTGATTGCAGCCATGAAATTAAAAAAGGCTTACTCCCTGGAAGGAAAGTTATGACCAACCTAGACAGCATATTAAAAAGCAAAGACATTACTTTGTCAACAAAGGTCTGTCGAGTCAAGACTATGGATTTTCCAGTAGTCATGTATGGATGTGAGAGTCAGACTATAAAGAAAGCTGAGTGCTGAAGTATTGATGCTTTTGGACTGTGGTGTTGGAGAAGACTCTTGAGAGTCCCTTGGACTGTGAGGAGATCCAACCAGTCCATCCTAAAGGAGATCAGTCCTGGGTATTCATTGGAAGGACTGATGTTGAAGCTGAAACTCCAGTATTTTGGCCACCTGACGCGAAGAGTTGACTCATTTGAAAAGACCCTGATGCTGGGAAAGATTGAGGGGAGGAGGAGAACGGGAAGACAGAAGACGAGACGGTTGGATGGCATCACCGACTCAATGGACATGAGTTTGGGTGGACTCCAGGAGTTGGTGATGGATAGGGAGGCCTGGCGTGCTGTGGTTCATGGGGTTGCAAGGAGTCAGACTTGACTGAGCAACTGAACTGAACTGAACTGATGTGCTATATAGACAGCAAAAACTCACTAATAATTCTAGCACTAGTGTCATTAGTGAAAACTCTGACAAGAGTCTGCTGCAGTGCTAATATTCAGGAGTACTGCTATATACATATAAGTATGTGTATATATTTATTACAAATAGTGTTATAAGAAAAATATTTTTATTGAATAACCTGTATTAAAATACATTGAGTTGTTTTTAAATGATTTTAGATTTTTAGATTAGTTGCACTCAATATTCATATTTTATTTAATAAATAAGTTAATGACATTTTTACAAGCATGATAAAATTTTGTAATATTTTTACCATTGGCATTATATGTGTGGTGGACTGAAACTCTATAATTGTGCAAATAATCTTTGTAAGTAAAGAAGCAAGAATAAAAGAGAAAATTCAGGAAAGAGGTTGTTCAGACAGGAGTAACATGAACTTTGTTATTCAAGAAATTTTGAATGATTTTTTAGTTTTTTATTTTTAACTCTGCAAAAAACTGAAAAATATGATTATTTTCTTCACTGTCCAGTATTTTTCACGTGGGTAAAATTAGTGTTCAGATGTAAATGCTACTCTAACATTTTTACCACTGAAATACAAAAGAAGTATGCAAAATCTAACAGTATGATCCCATAACAAAAATAATCAATAGTTGCCCAGTGACTGCATCAACAAAAATTCTACACTGTGTAAAGCATCATTTTATATTTCTGTATATTCACTTTAAATAGCAAACTTTCTATTTTTATGTACTATGTTATACTTTTATATAACACTAACATGTATTATTTCATTTACAAGTATAGAAGGTTACCTTTTTTAAAAAACAGCCAATTCCTCTCATTTTAATCTCCCAATGACATTTTCTTTTTAGCTACTACTTTATTATGCATAGTTAAGGAAAACAGGAAACATTATATCATAAGATAATAAAACAATAATAACAGCTAACATGATTCTTATGTTAAGTAAGCTCTAAGTGATTTTTGGGTAGTAATGCACTTAATACTCTCAACATCCCTGGGAGGTAACTATGATTATTAACCCATTTTACACATGAGGAAAATGAGCCCCACATGAGATTTAAAATGTGCCTATGGTCCCATAACTATTAAACAGCAGGATCACAGTTTACACCTAGGCAGTAGGACCTTTTTTAGCTCATAATTTTAACAATTAAACTTTCTCATTAATATTGAAACACAGTAAGAATCACAGAAACTAATAAAAATATATTTCATGGTAAAGTCATATGTATTAAATTATACTCTATAAAACAGAATACTACTCAGTCATGAAAAAAGAAATAAAACTCTGCCATTTGCAACAACATAGATAGACTTGGAGGGTATTATGCTAAGTGAAGTAAGTCAGACAGAAAAAGACAAATACTATATGATGTCACTTATATGGGGAATTTAAAAAATACAACAAACTAGTGAACATAATAAAAAGAAGCACAGATACAGATACAAAATATCTCACAGATACAGAGAACACACTAGTGGTTATCAGTGAGGAGACAGGAGATAGGACATAGGAGGAGAAATTCTGGAAGGGATTAACAGGTACAAACTATTTCACATAAAATAAGCTACAAGGATATGTTGTACAATGCAGGGAATACAGCCAATATTTTATAATAATTATAAATGAAGTGTAACCTTTAAAAGTTGTGAATCATTATATGGTACACCTGTAACATAATATTACATATCAATAATACTGCAATAAAAAATTAAATTATATTTTCAAATCACATAGAAACCAGACTAATCATATCTGGCAAAATATTCAAATTACCAGAATATAATGAAAAATTTTCTTGGATGCCATATATTATTGAAAAAACCATGTAGTATAAAAAGTAACCAATAAAAATCCATGTTCCTCTCCAAGAAATCTGCTTAAGAGTTCAGTTCTATTAACAAAATACATTAGTTTCAGCATTGCAGATTTCTACAAAATAATAAAGCTTCCATACTATTAATGCAATAGAAGAGGAAATACTTCTATGAAGCTGAAAATCATTCATTATAAATATAAAACAAAATATATAATATGCTTATAAAGTTATACATTGTATTGAAATGAAAAAGTGATATCAATTTTGTGAATACCAAAATATTGTACTGTTTATCTATTTAACAAGCTTCTCTAGAAAAAATGATAATTTAAATAGCATACTTATCATAGACTTAAAATGCATAAAAGATAAATCTACCTGCCATCTTCATTACTTCGATAAAATACAAGAAAAGGATCTGATTTTCCAAAGAAGTCCTTCTTGTCCAATTTATTTGCACAAAATTGCATTAGCACAGCATCCTACAAACAAAATTAATATAAAAGCTCAAAACCTGGGTTATAAGTAACTAGAAACTGCAGATCACAAGCAAGACCTGACAAGAAAACAATTTTTCCATTTTCATACAAATGGCCAACTGTGGGAAAATTCCAGACAACATCAAATTACATTTTAAGGGACTATGAGACTAAAAAATTGACTCTTGGAAGTTCTTGTTCTAGTCACAGAATTATTATTTATTAAAACTCTTTAACCTTTCCTGTCCTGGAAAATTGCTAGTAAGCTATATAACTCTGTGTAGCCAATATTACAAGATCTCTATTCACATCTTCAGTTATTCAGGTACACATTTTTAGGAGTTTTTTTTAAATTTCCTCAGGAAATATTTGTTAAGCATCTACTATGTATCTACCATGTATTAGATATTGAGATGTATCAGATGATTACATGAAACATAAGACAGATCCAGACTGACAACATAGTTAGCTATCTAAATGGGGGATAAGGTTCCTTCTTAATTAAGCAAAAGTGCACCACAATTTCTCAATAGCTACATTTAAAAATAATTTGTGTTATATTGGGCTTGAAGTGAAGCACTGTCATTTTCACTCCCAATTTAAATCACTTATTTGTATGCTAATTATTATATCAAACCAAGTATTTTTTATCAATTTATATACTGAAGCACTCATACTCCTCATAACTAACTTAAACAAGATGAGGTATCATAATTCAAGGAAGTTAAACATTATTCAGTGATGATCAGTTCAGTTCAGTTCAGTTCAGTCGCTCAGTAGTGTCCGACTCTTTGCGACCCCATGAATCGCAGCATGCCAGGCCTCCCTGTCCATCACCAACTCCTGGAGTTTAATGATGATAAACATATTTAAAAGGTACAAATTATACAGTAATTTAAAAATTAAAATCGGTATTCTGGATTTATTTTTCTTTAACAGAAAGCAGATGTTAATTTTTGAAGATAGAAGAGTCAAAGTAATTCATATTAACTCAAGAGGTCACATTTTTAATTACTGCTTGGTGAAAATGCTGACAAAGATTAAAAAGACACTCTCTCATTCACTGCTTCAATTTGCAGAGTTCAGCAAAAATTACTAAGCATCCACCTAATTCTTCTTATTTTCTTTCAGCAATTCCAGAACTCCATTCAAGAGGTGATGCTATCTGTCTTTTTTTTCATTCATATACTTACTCAGCAACATTTCTCAAGGAATACTTAGGCTAGAATCTGGGAATGAAGAGATGGTTTCCAAGAAGTTTATAACTCCAGATTTCTGGATTTCAAAAGCATTACCGGGGTATTATTTTACTTTGTTATTTAACATATAGAAGTCAAAACTTTACCAGTTGAACACCCATAATAGAGCAGGAAATACATGCCTAAGCTGGCATAATAACAATAAATATTTTAAAGAAAACTGAAAGAACAGAGAAACTAAAAATATGGATATCACCATCAACTCAAACTTTGCAACCGTGATCAATTTGAGGTTAAAAAATCAAAAATTTCTTTTAAGGAAGTAGTGACAGAGTCACCCTGAAAATAAAACAATAAAATCAAGGCAAATTGAAAAGGAAGGACTGGGTTAACTTTTCTGTTTCTTTTCTTTCCCTTTCATCTTCACATATATTAAAATGCCCTTAGAAGAGAGTGGTTTTCCAAGAGCATGGGACAAAGACATTAGTCTTGCCACAGAAATAAATGACTCCTCTAAGACATTCTTCCAAAGCACCTAAAACAAAACATAAATTACCAAAAAAAAAAACTAAGAAACAAAACTTCTGATGCACTTAAAATACACAGTAGAATTCTGAACTGTGTATATTTCAAATGAATGGTGAATTACACTTCAAAGAGTAAAGTGAATTTTCATATGATCACTGTTAATGTGTGCATGTGTGTTAAGTCACTTCAGTCATGTCCAACTCTTTGCAACCCCATGGACCGTAGACCACGAGGCTCCTCTGTCCATGGGATTCTCCAGGCAAGAATATTGGAGTGGGTTGTCATTTCCTTCTCCAGGTGATCTTCCCAACCGAGGGATCCAACCCATGTCTTTTATATCTCCTACATTGGCAGGCGGGTTCTTTACCACTAGCACCACCTGGGAAGCCTGATCATTGGTAAATGTAATACCAAATTGTAGTTTTTCAAATTATATTTCATAAGGCTTGAATAACTCAAAATAGAATATTATTTAAATGCACCAAATTATATAAACTTATGGAAAATATTTTTGTAATTACTCAGGATAATAACAGGAGAGATTCCATCTATATCAAACACAAAAGAAATCTAATTTCTGGGGAAAGTCCAAGCATTCACTTACTTTTAGAAATATAAGGACATCATTACATTTTTAAAACTCTTATGCTTAAAGCACCTTGAGAGAATTTTAAGACTTTCTTTAATACTCCACACTAATGTAACAAACTTCCTAATGAAGAAGTGCACTTCAATGTTTCACATTTCTAAGAAGTTCTAAGAAAATCAAACCAAACTTGTTCTGTAATTTTTACAGATTCAATGAGTGATTCGCCATCCACCCAAAGTGCTCAAGGAAGTTGTCCTTAAATATTCCCTTTCCTCACCTCTTACCTAGTTCATCTCCAAGTTGCAAGATGCTATCTCTAAAACAGTTATCAGATCTTCAATCACCTGAATATGCACAGTGGCATTTGTTCACTTCTCCCTCTTCTGCCCTTGGACCTATTCAATCAATTCTCCATTTAGCAGGGAGAGTAATAGACTTAAAACATCAAATAAATAACTTTGTTCATAACTTAAAATTATTCAAGCCTTTCCTTTGGATAAACACAGAATCTTTAATATAGTCTACAGAAGCTCAACACCAAAAAAACTCTGAGCAACCTTTTCCATATTCATCTGACAAAATTTTATTTCAGTCATTCCCCAACTCCCATCCCCTTGCTGACACACACCAGATACACGCTTTCCCTCTTTGGGCCCCATATAAGCTGTGTGTCCTGCTGGAAATCTTAATCATTACTTGGGGCTAAGCTAAAAAGGAATTTTTTCAAAGAGTCCTGGTTACCTCCAACCAATAGAAATGAGATTCTCCATGGTAGAATCAATATTTGCCTACAGAATCATCTGATTAATGTATATTGTTTTCAAAAAATACATGTGCGTTGAATAAAAGGACAGAGGTTGCTTGTTGTTATTTTTCTCACCATTCTATTCCAAGTTTCCTTACCAAGGAATAGCACATTATACATTTTGTGAATATTGTTAAATCAGTCAGAATGAAAAATATTATTTGTGGACAATTTGAAGCTATTTAAAAATACTGAATGAGGAAACATTTCCAATATGACTTCAAAATTAATTTCTATCCTAGAATTTGATAAGATATATCACAAAAGTTACATTTGAAATAAACTATGGAATACTAAAGAGATAATTAGGATTACCACACTTCAAATAAACATTTGTACAAATTTATAAATTATCAATTTCTCTAATATGCCCCCCCTTTTTAATACAGTAGGACATTTTGGCTATCCATTTCTAATATAGAAGTGTGTACATGTTGATCTCCAACTCTCTACCTATTGCTTCCCTCCATCCTTCTCCCCTAGCAACCATAAGTTGGTTCTCTAAGTCTGTGAGTCTGTTTCTGTTTTGTAAAGAAGTTCATTAGTATCATTTTCTTTTTAGATTCCGCAACTAAGGGGTGTAATCCAATATTTCTCCTTCTCTGTCTCACTGACTTCACTCAGTATTTCACTCTCTAGATCCATCCATGTTGCTGTAAATGGCATTAGTTCATTTTTATTAATGGCAGAATGATATTTCATTGTTTATATGTACCAAATCTTTTCTATCCATTTCTTCATTGATGGCCATTTAGGTTGCTTCCTTGTCTTGGCTATTATAAACATTTTGCGATGAACATTGGAGTGTATGTACCTTTTCAGATCATGTTTTTCTGTGGACATATGCCCAGGAATGGAATTGCAGGGTTATATGGTAGCTCTATATTTAGTTTTTTAAGGAATCTGCATACTGTTATCCATAATGGCTGTAGCAATTTACATTTCCACCAACTGTGTAGGAGGGTTCCCTTCTTGAAACACCCTCTCTAGCACTTACTGTTGGTGGATTTTTTTAAAGATAACCATTTTGATTCTAGGTTTGAGTTACATCTCTCCAATAATTAGCAAGGTTGAACATCTGTTCATTTGCCTATTGGCTATCTAGGTCTCCTGTGCATTTTTTAATTGGGTTCTTTTTTAGATGATGTCAAGCCTCATGTGCTAGTTGTAAATCTTAGAGACTAATCTCTTGTGGGTCATTTCATTTGCAAATATTTTCTCCCAATCTGTGGATTATATTTTCATTTTGTTTACTGTCTTTTTTGCTGTGTAAAAGCTTTTGAGTGTAAGTAGGTCCCATCTGTTTATCTTTGGTTTTTTCCCCATTACTCTGGGAGACAGACAAAGATACTGCTGCAATTTATGTCAGTGAGTGTTCTGCCTATGTTTTTCTCTAGGAGTTTTATAGTGTTTGGTCTCACATTTAGGTCTTTGACCCATTTTGAGCTTATTTTTGTGTATGGAATGATCTAATTTCATTTATTTTTTACATGTAGGTGTCCAGTTTTCCCAGCACCATTTGTTGAAGAGATTGTCTTTCCAATATGGCATAGTCTTGCCTCCTTTATCATACATTAATTGGGCACAGGTGTGTGGGTTTGGCTCTGCGTTTTCTATCCTGATCCTTTGATCTATACGTCTATTTCTGTCCCAGTACCATACTGTTTTGATGACTACAGCTTTGTAGCACAGTCTGAAGTTGGGGGCATCTGATTCCTCCAGCTCTTTTCCTCTCTCAAGAAAGAAATACAGCCCCTTTTTAATTCTGTAAAGAACCACCTGGGGGAGATACATACACATGTCGAAGATATTGTAGATTCTGTTCCAGACCACCACAATAAAGTGACTATCACAATAAAGCAAGTCACATCAATTTTTTGGTTTCCCAGTGCACACAAAAGTTATTGCTCACACTACTTCGTCTACTAAG